CTAAAAAATAAAATCTCCAAAATCTTCAGAAAAAATGTACATGTGCAATGACATGGCAAAAGATTCCAGGATGATTGTTAGAGGAATAGGATATAAAACAAAGGAGCTGGCTTAACAATGGTAGAAGGGATTTAGCTCAAATTCACTTAAATTGTGCATCGAGCACAGGTCACCTTTACTTGAGAAGGATATAATTAGTTTTATAAGGGTCCATGTCCATGACACCAAGTGATACAATATTAAATCATCAAAACACTGTCTGAATAACAATTGAAAAAATAAAATTAGACAATTTAGAATACACGAGAGTGCATATTGATCTAATTCAGTGGTGGGCAACCTGCGGCCTGTGGGCCACACACCGCCCCTCAGGGTAATCCACTGGCGTGCTGTGAGACAGTTTGTTTCCATTGTTTAAATGGCTGCCCGCAACTCCCAGTGGCCATGGTTTCCCATTCCCAGCCAATGGGAGCTGTGGGAAGTGGTGAACGTTGAACTACGGCCACTGGGAGCTGCGGGTGGTCAATGTAAACAAACTGTCTTGTGGAGTGCCAACAGATTACACTGCTGGGCTGTGTGCGGCCTGCGGGCCTCAGGTGTGAGGGTCCGGAGTGTGGGGACAGGAAGAGCCCCCAGCACTATCAGTTAGGAGAAGATGAAGTACTCATGGAACTGATGCAGATTTTGGATCCAGGCATTGGAACACTTACTTGAGCATGGGTAGTTTTTTTTTAGAGAAACAATGGCTCAAAGGAGAACACTAGATTTGTTTATGTGTAAACTGATGGCTGAAGGGAGTGTACCAAAGTTGTTTTGTTCAGGCTGGACAATGGGAATTGATTGTTCCTGGCTATGGGCAGTGTTCCTTGGAAGGGAGCTCACAATGTAATTAGGGAGCTTCACTATTTTGGATACCAATAAAGGACTGATTACTAGAATTGGTCTGATAACTACTGAGCTGGGTTTCTGCAGGCGTGGGTGAGTGCAGGTGTGGATTCCTTAACATCTGGAGCAGAGATCCCCCATCATGCAGTGCTTCACTGCTTTTCTGGTCCCAGAGTTCCGTTCAGTTCTTGCCTTGGAATATCTGTTATCCATTCTGTATGATAATGGGGATGCCTCCCTGCCCCATCTCTGATGCAAATGAGGCTAGGGGAATTTCCTTAATCCTGTCACCCTTATCCCAGGGGTTTAGTTGTGTCTCCCACTGCCTTTTCATTGATTTTTGTAAGTCTTTCTTCTGAACAGTTTTGGTTCAAGCAGAGGCTGAGCAGGGGATGTCGAGGTCTTTTGTGAGTCAGACAGGCTGGGTACTGTGCCTGGGTTTCCCAAGAATATAAAGCTGAGAGGTAACAATGGAAAGATGGGAGACTTAGAATATGATTCTCAAAAGCCAGCATGATAGGCAGGGAGCTACCTAAACTAACCAATGGGAGATACTGACAGGAGGTGTGTGCTAAGCCCCACTCCTCTTACAGAGGTATGTTCCTAAGTCTGAGAAACAGGGATGAGTCTATTTCTGGTAGCAATTCACAGCCAGGAGCACTCTTTGGAGTGTGGTGCCTATGCCATTTACGCAAGAAGCCATGGGGGAGGGAGAAAGGAGGCCAGAGAAGGAAATATAGGAATAACTCTATAGCAAGGTGGTTAGAGCATTCACCAAGGATGTGGGAGATGCAGAACCCAGCCCCTCTGCTCTAATGATGCTCTATTTTTTAATTCACAGTGCCACAGCTTCAACAAGTGAGACTGAATGAGCCCCAAATGAAAATATCCCATATTCCAATGATTAGAGCGCACACCTGAAAAGTGGCAAATCTATGCACCCTGTCAGGCAGAATGGGGACTTGAAGCAGGGGCCTCTCTCACATCCCAGGTGTGTACCCTAACCAATGGGCTAAAAATTATGAGTGAGGTCCCCCTCCTTCCTGGCTGTTTTGTATGAACTCACCTAAGGGGCCCAATCAGTAAAGGTGCTCAGAGGCCATGTATTAGATCCCCCCACCCCATGCATCTTAGGCAGATGAATGCCTATCGTCCCCTGTTTTGTTAATCACTCTGGGGCTTAGGCAGGAAACAGGCACCAGGAGTCTAGAGTGAGGTAGCAGTGTGCATGCTCAGAGCAGATATGTAGGCATGATGGGAATTTTACTGCAAAAACTGATGTGCTGGGCAAATTTATGTGCTTTCAGGGTTCACTGAGGGCTTTGTGAATTGCAGTGGAGCCTAGAATTGGGACTTAGGTACCTAAATCTGGAGTTTAGGCACCTAAATACTTTTGTGAATCTAGGCCTTAGTGCCTGAACCTTTGCAGCACACTGTATTTAAACAAGAAGAAGTTTGACTATTTCCCCAATATGTTGAAGATAACTTTGACTTCAGCCAAATGCTTTGGTCAAATGATAAAACAGTCCCATATCTATAATATGATCCTTTTGTTAAGCCCTACCTCCAAAAAAAGCCCTGGATGAATGACTCACTTATCTCTCCTGTCTATTATCTTTATTTAAAATATCTTTTTAAATTAGTCATTCTTTTACTTCTTTATAGTTTATTCACTAAAAAATAAACACGTTTAAAACTGATGCACTACCATATAATGAAACACCCTTTTATTCATTTCTTGATACATGCTTTCTCTTTTTCTTTGTCAATAATATTTTTTAACTTTCAAATCAGTGATAATTATAATTATGGAGCCAATAACTCAGGAACACTTTCATATTATACGCATCATTATTTTATCGTCTAATCTTTTGTATCGATTTTGTGGGGTGATTACATCAATATTTCCACTGTTAAGTTTCATGGCTTGCTTTGCTTGACTAATACTAGATATCACATATGCTCTATTGTTAGCATTGCTTTTAAGCCTCTGAATCTTTAAACTTATTTGAGGGTACAGACTGTTAGAACAGCATCTTCCTTTTCTTATGGCCGATGGGACTCTTGTTAAACTACTCACCTCATCAGTTCCTTGTAGATCATTTCTTCACATACAACACCTCTAGGGTATATCTACACAGCCTTTGGTAGTGAATGTCCCAGCCAGGATTGACAGACTCAGGGTTGCAGGACACGTGCTAGCACTCTAAAAAATAGCTGTGTAGACAGTGCTTTGAAGTTACAGCTTAGGCAGGAGCTCGGATTCTGAAGTCTAGGGAAGGAGGAACATGACACAAAACTTCAAAGGTCTGTCTTTGCAGCTGTTTTTACAGTGCTAGCACAAGATCTGCAAGCCCAACTCTACCGACCCAGGCTGGGAAGCTTGCTGACATAAGCTGAGTAGACATACCTTTTAGAGGCCATCTGAAATGAAGTCCCTTAGTGATATGCTTCAGGGCATATTAAATTAACAATCATTCTCATAGGTAGTATTATAAAATTGAAAGCCTACGACTGCCCCAGATATTTGCACTCTTGGCCTGATTCTCATTTACGCTAAGTACACTTCAAACCTCTGTGGTAGTGAAACGATCATTGAAGTGGTCATAAATTACAGAGAGGTAAAGGGGCTTCTCTATCCATACCATTCTGAGGAATCTTTTAGAACTATTATATATATGGAACTAATGATTAGCTCCGTTGCTATGCACTCTCACAGTTCCGAAGCCAAGAATGATAATCAAAATCATATCTGGGAACTTGGGAGATAGTGGTAGTTGACCATGACAGCTGAAGAAGGCTTAAAACACTTGATATGCTATTAAGTGTGTTCCAATGCACCATTAATGGATTACAAAAAATGTTAGAGATCATGTAATGCAGAAGGGCAGATGTGCCATACATATTATACAGCCATGCTAGTGCAGTTTGTTAAAAAGAAAATGATGGCTTGATACACAATTTGTCATAAGGTACTACACAGGTGTACATGTGGAGTAATTCCATTGACTCATACAATAAAATAAATAGTAAATGGGAAATCATTTCTGAGCATGAATGTTAGCATGCCTAAGATTTCATAAAAATGTCCTAACCTCAAAATGTGTCATCAACACATTCTGCCTTGCTGGCCTGACAAAAGGCCGAGGGATTGGAGCTGCTGCACTCAGGCTGATGCTGAGACAATTTGCATAAGGAGATTGTAAATGTCTCATGAACAGTCAGAGCAAAATCATCAACAACAACAAAATAAATACTGAGATTTAGAGTCTGCAACAGGAGACAGACATGGTCATGAAAAAAATCTTGAATCTTGTGATTTCAGGACTTAAATTCCCCTGTTCCCCCACCCCTTTGCAATATTCTATATATTATCTCTTGCAAATTACAGACTTTAATACAAAAATAAACACATAAATTAATAAAATAATTAAGGGCCTGATCTAATTCCATTTGTAGTTGTTAGGCATGTGAAAAGGTTACTCACCCTTTTCTATGGGCATGTCTTCACTACCCGCCGGATCGGCGGGTAGCGATCAATCTATCGGGGATCGATTTATCGTGTCTAGTGTAGACGCAATAAAATTGATCCCCGATCGCTCTGCCGTCGACTCCAGAACTCCACCGCAGCGAGAGGCAGAAGCGGAGTTGACGGGGGAGCAGCAGCGGTTGACTCGCCGCCGTCCTCACAGACAGGTAAGTTGACCTAAAATACGCAACTTTAGTTACGCTATTAGCGTAGCTGAAATTGCGTATCTTAGGTCGACACTCCCCCCTCCCCCCGTAGTGTAGACCTAGCGTATGGGTGTTTGGAGTTACTAGCAATGTGGAAAGCTAGTTTTCTTAGTATTTCAAAGAACTTTCCTCCTTTTCACTCTCCAGTGCCTACAGAAATCATAATGCTCCCAGAAGTGTAGTAAAACATAACATATATTATTGTCAGATAAGCCATCTGTCCCAGGCAGGGGAAATCATGATATGTCAAACTAGGAACAACTAGTTCTTTCTCTAAAGACTGATACTACATAAACTACTCTCGTTTTGCTATACAAGGTAATGAAGATAAGATACTATAAAATAAAGAACTATCATAGCATATTCATCCGGGTAGTATGCATCTGGTGTTTTTTTATTTATTTATTTACTTTATATTATATAGCACCAACCGTGTACACTTGTCACTTGACAACATTTTAAAAAGCAATATTGAGTTTCAGAATTCTGTGGTGACTCATGACCTTGCAGATTTTTGCAGACAAACATGTTTTCAACCGTGGACATATCTGAGTGTCTCTATTCTTTTCTTTCTGAGAAGAAAGCCCAGATGACAGTATTAAATGATTGCTCATCCATTCTGAGTGCTCTTCTATTTCAAGGATGGCAAGGTTATATCCTCTTGCTCTTCTTGTTCATTATGTATATGAGATGGTGAGGTGAAGCAGGTTACATAGAAGATGTGGATTCTGACACTTTAAGAATCCTGATTATACTCAATTCTATTTTCTTATGCCATCTGACATGGCTGGTACAGTGGAGTAATTTACTCAGAGTGAAACCATGGGCCCCATCAGGGGAATAAGTATTTTACCATTGAATTCCGTAGAGTCAGACCCTAATGTCTGATTATAACATTCCGGGATATAATCCAGAGCAGGGCGAGATGGTGTCACACCTGCCCTGCAACCTGGGGTACCTCACAATGCTACGCAGTTGTAGCTCCCACCTGGGCCACTCACAGAGAGCCTGACAACATGCAAGTCACACCCTGAGTGTCTGTGTGTAGCTGCAGCTTGCCAGCCACACTCCAGTCACACTCTGGCTTCCGCCAGTCTTGATTACCACAAACAGGGTGATCCCAAGACACTCATAGTCCTGGATTTTTTCCAGGAAATGTGTGTTCTGCATTGTCCAGCCCTCTCCTTCACAGTACAGATATATTAGGGCTCTTGGCCCTCTACAGATATCAATATACAACAGTTTTCTACCCCAAATGAAGTAACCCCCACAGTTCACAACACTGGATTAGTTTTGTTTAAGGAATAAAATAAGTTTATTTAACTACAAAGAAATAGGTTGTTAGTGAGTACAAGTAATTATGTATTAAAGTCAGAAATGCTTACAAAAAAAAAATAAAGAGGAAATGATTTCTAAACTTAACAAACTAGAATTGGTTCATGTTTTCAGTATGTAGCTGACAGAACTCTAAGGCCAGCATCTGCTCCTGAAATCCAATGGCTGTTTCTTTTGTTTTCTTAGGTGAAAAGAGAGAGATGGGTAGGGAGAGAGAACTTGGGGTAGTTGTTCCTGTCACTTTTATAGATCAGCCACCCTTTGAAATGCATTTTTCCTGAGAGTGACCCCTAGATAAAGTTTGTTCCAGCTGAGAGCAAGAAGACATGGAGTCTGGTGGGGAAGAGGCAATATGCTGTTGTTTGCTGAGATGCAGATCTTCTTTCTTCCCCCCTCACTGTCTGAAGATATTGTTTGCAACTGATATGCAATTTGTTTTAGGGCTGTAAATTAATTGGCGTTAACACAAACAATTAATGCAAAACAAATTAACTAAATTTAAAAAAATGGTCACAATTAATTACAGTTTTAATCTCATTGTTAAACAATAATGGAATACCAATTTAAATGTATTATAAATATTTTGGATGTGTTTTTCTAGTTTTTCAAATATATTAATTTCAATTACAACACATAATACAAAGTATATAGTGCTCACTTTATATTATTATTTTTATTACAAATAAAAAATAGTATTTTTTCAATTCACCACATACAAGTACTGTAGTGCAATCTCTTTTATCATGAAAGTGCAATTTACAAATGTTGAATTAAACCAAAACAATCTAAAACTTCAGAGCCTATAAATAAGAGGGGCTGTGTGGTCTAGTGAGTAAAGCAATGAACTGAGACTCAGAAGACTTAGCTTCCGCTCCCAGCTCTGCTGCTGTCTGTCTCTCTGTGTGACCTTGAGCAAATCAGGTCACCCGTCTCTGCCTCAGTATCCCTCCTGCAAAATGGGGATAATGATATTGACCTTTGAAAAGCACTTTAAAATCTACTGATGAAAATCGCTATATAAGCATTGGGTATTTGTATGAAGTTTCTAAGTAGTCTCAAATTGCAGTCCCATTCAAAGAACTTTAAAAGATCTAACCTCTATGGTGTGCACTCAAAGTCTACATCTGAAATGAGATTTGGTCCCTTACCAACAAGTGCAGATAGATGAAAATGCAATATTGGCTGCAGTATCTGCCTGATCATCCAGAAGCATTGAAGAATCCCAAAAGGTCTTGAGATTGTGAACCTGAGGGAAAAAAAGTGATGGGTTCAATCTTTCAGTTAAGGTAGCTCATATCATTTCTCCCATTTCTTTCAGTTGATTTTTCCCTAACCAAGACTTCCCCCATTTTTTGTGAATTTAACCACAGCTAGATACTATTTATATAACCTCCAGTCTATATTAGAGTGATCAAAGGCACCCCAGTTTTCACACCCTGCACATTATTGCAATAATCTTTGTAGAAAATATGCCTTGTGGGATATAATATGAAACCTAATAACTCACTTGCAATGCTGGCTACAATAGTACCTCACTGCTCTGTATTCTGTATTGATTTCCAGTAGAGTTAAGATGTTGATTTTGACTTCTCCTCCATCTTGGTAGTGTTGCATTACAATCAGCCAGTGGAGACCCTCCAGCTAACAGTCTCCTCATTTAAAAGCTAGGGGAACTTGCAACAGGCCATTTTCTTTGAATTCACTCCACCTCCCGACGTTGTTTCAACAGAGCCCAAATTTCAGGTCTCACTGCAAGGCTTATCTCTTTCCTGAGCTTTTGGAGACTGACAATATAGTGAACAGATACCGTCATTTTTGTGGGAGCAGTAATATACTGGGGCATGTACTTTTATTCTGAATCTTTATCTTGTGGCGAGATGTATTTAGAATTTTGTAAAAGTGCACAAGGTTCTGGATATTTCTTCTATCTATCTATGAAATCCACTACAGAAGATGATATTCTGTTATCGCCACACAGTCTCACTGAAATCAATGAGTCTGCTGGCAAAGGGAGCTCTGATGGGTTTGGTTACAGAGATCCCCTTGGGACTATCACCTGATGTGCTGAAATTACCTCTGAGCCCATTTTCCCTGCCAGCTTGGCACTCCAGAACCCTGCCTTCTTGAGCCAGACCTGCTAGCCTGCTGCAACACAGACCCAGGGTCTGGGCATGCTCCCAAAGGTGCAGACTTTAACCAAAAACAGCTCAGCAGGTTACCTGTCTCCAGTACCCAGACACCCAGTTTCCAATGGGATCCAAACCCCAAACAAATCCGTTTTACTCTGTATAAAGCTTATACAGTGTAAACTCATAAATTGTCTGCCCTCTATAACACTGATAGAGAGATATGCACAGCTGTTTGCTCCCCCAGGTATTAATCACTTACTCTGGGTTTATTAATTAACAAAAGATTTTATTAAGTATAAAAAGTAGGATTTAAGTGGTTTCAAGTAATAACAGACAGAACAAAGTAAGTCACCAAGCAAAATAAAACAAAAGCACACAAGTCTAAGCTGCATACATTAAGAAAATGATTACAGATAATATCTCACCCTCAGAGATGTTCCAATAAGCTTCTTTCACAGACTAGACTCCTTCCTAGTCTGGACCCTATCCTTTCCCCTGGTACAGTCCTTGTTAGTTCCAGCAGACATCTCAGGTGTTAATCAGGGCTTTTCCGATGACTGGAAGCCCCCTTTGTCCTGCTCCACCCCCTTTTATAGCTTTGACACAAGGTGGGAATCTTTTGTCTGTGCTTGTTCCCACCCCCTGCCTCATCAGTGGAAAAGTACAAGGATTAAGATGTATTCCAGTATCATGTGATATGGTCACATGTCACTGTAAGACCCCTAGTCTCCATTCTTCCTGGGTTGTCCCACACCTACACAGGAAGGTTTGCAGGTAAATAAACCACTTACAACCAATTGTCCTAGTCAATGGGAGCCATCAAGATTCTAGACCACCATTAATGACCCACACTTCGTGTAATTACAATAGGACCTCAGAGTTATACTTCATATTTCTAGTTTGAAATACAAGAATGATAGAGGCATACAAATAGGAGTGATATATTCAGTATGTCATAACCTTTGTTATGATAACAGACAAGAGACCTTTCACATAATGCATATTCCAGTTACATTATATTCACACTCATAAGCATATTTCCATAAAACATATGGAGTGCAACATCACAGGAGCCAGGGCCGGCTCTAGGTGTTTTGCTGCCCCAAGCAAAAAAAATTTTGGCTGCCCCCCCACCCCAGCCCTGGTCTCTCCCCTTTCCCCTTCCCCCAACTGCACCCTCCTGCCACCCCAGCCCTGGGTCACTGGTAACTTGCTCCCAGGGCGGGTCATTCAGCAGGAATTTTGAATGTGCACAGTACACAGACAGGATTGGTTCCCATATGGCTACAGAACTGCAGTAAAGTGGAACAATTTTCAGCTTGTGTGACTGGAGCTGGATGCATATTATAAGACTGTCCTACATAAATGAGGGAAAGTTGAGGTGCCTTTATTATTCTTTTGTTCCATTCTTTGTTTCTATGGGGAATGCACTATCATGGTCTTCCTTTTAAACAAATAAAATTAAAACTTAAAAAAAAAAAAGACAATGGTTGTTGAAAATAGCAATTCCAGTCCTAATAATCACTGGGAAGCATTTCTTGCTCAATTTATTCTACTTTTTCAACAGCAAGTTACAGTGGATCAGTATATTTGATTTGGGTGAAATGAAGTAACAGCTGCCCAAATTGAGCTTGAGCACTCCTGAATTTTGAGGGTGTTCAAATCTGGAAGGCAGGTGCTAGATTCCCTTTCTGAATATTAGCTATATCTGGAAAGGAAAAGTCAATTTCTGCTTCCATGGCTCAGAAGTGGAAATCCTCCTAAGTGCCTGGTACTGTATCTAAAGCTGCCCAGGTCCAGAGCCTACCCTCCCTTACTTTTCATTTTAAATTCTAGTGGGATCCACATACCTCCCTTGCTAGGCTTCAGATAGAGAGGTGTACTGTCCATTTAGTCCCCCCAATTTCTTCTTTGGGGGAGAGCCCAGGGCTGGGGCGGCAGGAGGTGCGAGTGGGAGGGGAAGAGCCCAGGGCTGGGGCAGCAGGGGAGTGCAGCTGGGGGCCAGAGCTGGGGCAGCAGGGGGTGGGGATTGGAGATCCCAGGGCTGGGGCGGCAGGAGGTGCAGGTGGGGGAGAGCCCAGGGCTGGGGCAGAAGGGGAGTGCAGGTGGGGGCCAGGGCTGGGGCGGCAGGAGGTGCAGGTGGGGGAGAGCCCAGGGCTGGGGCAGAAGGGGAGTGCAGGTGGGGGCCAGGG